CTCGGATTGGTCTGGCGAGGGCGGGATCGGTTCTTGCATCGATCCGCCAGATGCCCGAAATTTCTGCAGATATTGCAGTAGAGGCGCCGTGGCTTTCGCTCTTCAGTGTTGTCGGCGTAGAAGGCGAGCCGTTCGCGTTCCTGTCGCGGCGCTGGTCGCTGCTGATCCATATCCCTCTGTTCGACGAGAAGGGCGGCGCAAAGGGCGGCCTCCGAGATGACCCCCTGCTGTCGGAGAAGCGCCTTGCAGGGCCGCCACTCTGGGCCGAGCCCTTGAAGCACGATGTTGACGAAGATTTCCTCTGAAATCGTGCTTCCCAGCTTCACGATTTGATCGCGAAGGCTCCGACAGCGATTGAGATAGTTGTTGACCTTCTTCCCTGCGGTCATCTTGGTTTCCAGGAGTTCCTGGAGTAGTCGGCTCGAAGAGACAGAGTCCTTGGGCTGATAGACACCTGTCAGGTGTCGCCAGGCGTTAAGGGCTGGAGCAGCCGAGGTCTTGTAGGAACGAATGTTGAGCTGCTCCGCCGGCGACATGTTCCGCAGGAGCACCCCGTACGCCATCAACGATTCGTCGTAGTACCTTGCCTTGGCGTCGTCGGTGTCCTCATCGGGCTCCGCGTAGCTCCCGTCAAAATAGTGGAAGATTCGGGCGTTCTGCAACAGGAGCTCCAACTCGAAGCTCCAGGTATAAAAGTCTCTGCCGTCAAAACAGGTACTTGTCTTTATTTTTGATATGCTGAGAAACCTTGATTGAGCGGAGAGAATTGCCTCTTCGCTGGGACGGGGAGTCTTGGGGGTTGAGCCATTGGTGTCGAGGGAGAATGTTTGCGGGGTGGCGTTCTGGCCAGTCGGGGCCGGTTGAGAGGGTTGCGAGGATGTTCCCGCATCGCCATTCCGCAATGTTTGGAGTCCTTGCTCCAAGCTGGTGAGTCGCTGAAGAAGTTGTGCGAGAACTTCGGAACCGATCGTCGTCGTGTTCTCGCTTGTCGCAGCCGGGTTGGGTTGCGCTTCAGCCGTCAGATTAGTCTGATCACCAGATCCTCCGGCCATCTTCACTCGTGAGCGTGTGCCGGACGCCACTTTCCGAATGTCGCAATTTTCGGGACTGGCAGTGCGAAGGATTCCCGAGCTGCTCTCATACCATGCTGCGATCAGAAGTTGATCGTAGCCCAGGATCTACTCAGGAAGGTTCGCACGCAATGTTGGTGGGCCCTTGACCTCAATAGCTGAGTGAATGTAAATGCTTGAGATAATAAAACATGCAAACAAGATGATATAAATAAGAGTACAAGGGAATACGAAAAGACCTAACTAGCCATGTACCCTAAGGGGTACATTCCCTTATTCAAATACATCCCCAACCGTGCGGCGCGTACAGTTTCGTAACTGTTCCCGCCAAATCCATCCTGCCTGCAGCTGTGCAATGCCGTCTGCTTCCGACGGTCTAGATGTGCTGTAACCGTCTGACTCTTCGCGTTCGTTTCCAGCTGTCTAACGCTTCGCGTTCGTTCCCAATATTGCCTGCTTCCTTTTGCTACGGTGAGGAGTGCACAGTAATATCAAATATTACTATTTGTAACAATACCAAGAGAAGCTAATCTAAAGAGGAAAAAAATTAATTGATAACCTAGCAGATTTAGCTAGCTTATGGATATGTTAAATCGCTACAACGCAATGGCGTAACGATCGAGCGGCGCAGCGACGCAACGACGCAACGGCGCAACGATCCGACGGTGCAATGATGACATACGATGTAATAAATCGCAGCAGCGTAATGACTCAATGGCGGATCTGCATTTACTAGAAATACTACATATTATAATGTATGTTCCATTTTAGACTAGCTAGTATATGTGGCACATTGTAATAATATTGGAACATTATAATATCTTGACTAGCGAGCATCATGACTAGCGAGCATCGTGACCAGCGAGCATCGTGACTAGCGAGCATCGTGAATACCGAGCATCGTGACTAGCGAGCATCGTGACCAGCGAGCATCGTGACTAGCGAGCATCGTGACCAGCGAGCATCGTGACCAGCGAGCATCGTGACCAGTGAGCATCAAGACCAGCGAGCATCGTGACCAGCAAGCATCGTGATTTGCGAGCATCGTGACCGGCGAGCATCGTGACTAGCGAGCATCGTGACCGGCGAGCATCGTGACTAGCGAGCATCGTGACAAGCGATTATCGTGACTAGCGAGCATCGTGACTAGCATCGTGGGCATCGTGATTGACATCGTGAGAATTTGAACCGTTAAGATGTATAAGTAATTTCAAATAAATTCCCTTAACAATCCGTTTTAAACTGATTGAAACCAATTATTCTACAAATAGATTGTTCAATCCGATCAAAGAAAAACAAAATAATACTAAGAGACGCTAATCTAAAGAGGAAAAGAAATTAATTGATAACCTAGTAGATTTAGCTGGCTTATGGATATGTTAAATCGCTACAACGCAATGGCGTAACGATCGAGCGGCGTAATGATTGAGCGGCGCAGCGAGGTAACGACGCAACGAGGCAACAACGCAACGGCGCAACGATCCGACGGTGCAATGATGACATACAATGTTGTTAGAATCTAGCAACAGGAATAGCAGGATGTAGGAGTACAAGTAGTAAACCCTAATTGGGTTGTACCCCACTACATCCTAGACAATATGCAGCACATATAGTTTGACACACCCCCATAGGCAAAGTGGGGGAGAACAAGGGGTCACACGACCAGTCAAGAGAAGCAAAACAAGCTCAGGGTGGATCACAACGTCACCACACATTCCGAGCACAAGCAAAGGGCCACAAGGCCAGTTCACATGCAGAGATATATATGCAGCAATAACAGTACAGTGATGGCTACCTAGCAAGAGCCAGCATGCAGGTATATATATAGATCACAGTACAAGCAGAGACTACAGCAAGTGTGGAAACGTAGGCACAAGGCCCAACAGAGTACAACAGCGCTGATGATTACCAGACGGAAGTGCCTTGGTGAATATATCAGCAGTGTTGGCCCGAGTGGCCACGTGGCGAAGACGAAGCTGACCTCGCTGCTGCAACTCTCGAGCCAGGAAGTAACGCAGAGCAATGTGCTTCGTTCTGTGCTCCAGTATGTGCTCCTCACACAAGGCAATGGCCGCCTTGTTGTCAACGTACAGCACTCGAGGAGAACGAGGCCGCTCACCCAAGTCAGTCAGCAGGTAGGTGAGCCAGCGTAGCTCCTGCGCAGCCATGGCGGTGGCGTAGATCTCAGCCTCACAACTGGAGCTGAGAACAGAAGACGAGCGTATAGACCGCCAAGAAACTGAGCCAGAGCCAAGGCTGAAGGTGTAACCCTGTGACGACCGCTGTGTAGTCTGGTCGTCAACCCAAGACGCGTCTGAGTGCCCCGTGAGGACCACCTCACTCCGTCCTCCAAGCACGAGCCCCATGCCCGATGTACTGCACAAGTAGCGCAGTACCCTCTTAGCAGCAGCCATGTGCTCTGGTCGGTGCCTACCAGGAGCCACGTAGCGAGCGAGAAGGCCAAGAGGGTACGCAAGGTCAAAACGAGTGCAGGTCATCAGGTACATGAGGCAGCCCACTAGCTCTGGGTAAGGCCCACTCGGCTCTACGGACTCGTCCGAAGGTGGAGCTGAGAGCGAGTGACCTGTAGCCAGAGGAGTGTGCTGTGGCGAGGACCAGGTGAAGCCGAAGCGCTGAAGTACCTGCTGCACCATGTGTGACTGAGTCAGTGTGATGGTGCGGCGTGCTCTGTCCCGGGTGATCTGCAAGCCAAGGTAACTGCGCAGCACACCCAGGTCTGTGCACGTGTGTCTCTTCTGCAGCTCCGACTTCACCAAGGCGAGAGCCTCAGTGTCAGCAGTGGCAAAGACCAAGTCTTCAACGTACACGAGGATGTAGAACGGTGGCAGCGAAGTGTCGGTGCGCAGGAACAGCGACGGGTCAGCTGTCGAAGGAGCAAACCCAAGAGCCGCCAGTGTCGTCCTCAGTGTGTCGTGCCACTCACGTGGTGCCTAGCGGAGACCGTAGACTAGTCGCCAGAGGCTCCACTGGGTACCAGGAGGGAACGACCCAGTGAAGCCAGGTGGGCGGCGCAGCCAGATCTCCTCGTGCAGGCTGCCCTGTAAAAAAGTTGTGCTGAAGACAAGAGAGTGAAGCTCGTAGTCACGCTGAGCGGCAACGTGCAGCAGCACCCGAAGAGTAGTCATCTTCGGGGTGGGGGAGAAGGTCTGGAAGAAGTCAACTCCCTCTCGCTGACTGAAGCCTCTAGCAACGTAACGAGCCTTGAAGGCAGGCGGAGAACCCGGCGGCCGCTTCACCCTGAAAATCCACATGCCATCGACGATGTTCGCCCCAGGAGGGGGAACCTTATCGACGTAAGTGCCTGTGGACTTCCAGGATGCCATCTCTGCGTCCATGGCTGTCTGCCACTGAGAGGAGTACTCACCCGCGATCGCCTCAGCGTAAGAGCGCGGGGTCGGGATGTCTGGTGCATCCGGGTCTCCCTCAGGGGCAAGCAGCATGGCCATGAGATGAGGCACAGCGGCTGCAAGACACTCAAGGTCCTCGTGCCTTTTCTCAAGGACGTCCGTGCTAAGAGCACAATCACCCTCGACGGACGGAGGACAGACGGACTCAGACTCAGCAACAAGACTGGCAGCGAAGTCTAGACGACAGGCAGCAGCAAAGTTAACAAGCTCAGCGACAAGAGCAGACGCAGCAGTAGACTCAAACGACGGGTCAGTGACAACAGTGTCTAGCAGACGCGTGACAGTAGGTTGCTCAGCACGAAACCGGTCAGACGCAGGGTCCGGAACGTCAGGCAAAGAGGGCGCAGGAGGAGACGGCAGAGGAACAGGCTGCGGAGCAGAGGAAGGACGACGGACTATGAGGTGTGCGCAGGGGACAGCCGGCTGACGCGACCGAGGAACACAACGACCGGTACGACTAGGACGAACAGGCGAGACAGGACGTGACGGAGGCTCACGACGCTCAGCAGGACTACCAGTCTGCTCAGTGTAGGGAGAAGGAGCAGGTAGCGGTGAGCCAGGCTGTAACGGAAGACCAGTAGACGACGGGAGAATAAGAACCTGACGAAGAACAGAGTCAGACGGCGGCAGAGACGATGGAGACGGCGGAGCGAAGAACAGGCGTGTCGGCGCAGCTGTACCAGTACCGGCAGCTCCAGCAGCTCCAGTACCTCCAGCAGCTCCAGCACCTCCAGCAGCTTTAGAAGCTCCAGTCCCAGAACCGACACCTCCAGTCCCAGGGTCTCCAACCTCAGTGTCTCCAGCAGCAGCACCCCCAGAACCAGCACCTCCAGTCCCAGGGTCTCCAGTCTCAGTGTCTCCAGCAGCAGCACCTCCAGACGCAGCACCCCCAGCCCCAGCAGCTCCAGTACCTCCAGTACGAGCACCTTCGGAGCCAGCGACTCCAGCACCTCCAGTAGACAAAGGACCAGCACCACTCCTAGCTCCAGGGACGTCAGCAGAAGTAACTCCAGCAGCAGAGCCCCGGGCTCCAGCAGCGCGACCCTGACGCGACCGTACCAGTCTTGCAGCTGCTGTGAGGTGAGAGGCACACGTGGACGAAGGCGGCTACTCCAAGGAGACCGCGCAACAGCAGACTCAGAACCCTCAGCGCCCGCACCCCCAACGGCTCCAGAACCTCCGGTGTCAGTACCCACAGCGCCAGTAGCTCCAACGGCTCCAGAACCTCCAGCGCGAGCACCCTCAGCAGCTCCAGAACCTCCAGCTCCAGCGCCACCAGTACTAGGCCCTCCAACAGCTCCCGAACCTCCAGCGCCAGCACCCTCAGTAGCTCCAGAACCTCCAGCGTCAGTACAGCCAAGCTCAGCACCCCCAGACCCCTCACACTCAGGCTCAGCACCACCAGGCTCCACACCCTCAAGCTCCGCACCCTCAGGCCCAGTACCCCCAGGCTCAGCATCCCCAGGCTCCGCACCCCCAGGCTCAGCACCCACAGAAGTAGCACCCCGAGCAGGACCACCCTCAGTAGGACCTGAGTCACCAGTGACCTCAACCGGCGCAGTCAAGGGAGGAGGGTCTACCTGAGAAACACCTGAAGGAGCAGGACCTGGAGCGGGGAAGGGGTCTACCTGGGGAGCACCTGGAGCGAGGAAGAGCGGCGGGGGGGGGGAGCGAGGCAGTGCGGTAGGGGAAGTGACGGTAAAAGGGAACCGACTCGTCGAACGTGACGTCCTGAGACGCAAAGACACGGCGCGAGCTGGGGTGGTAAAACTGCCAACCAGGCGCGTCAAGGACAAAGCCAAGGAAGACACATGGAACAGCGCGGGCGGAGAGCTTGTCCGCGGTGGTATCGCGGACAAAGGCATGAGCACCCCAGACCCGGAAACGCGACGCATCGCCAACCTTCCCCGTCCACAGCAGTGTGGGCGAGGTCTCGGGCAAGGAGACACGGGGCCAGAGGTTGAGCTGATGCGCGGCGTACCGGACCGCAAACGGCCACACAAAATGGGGGGCAGCCGCATGGATCATGGAGGTACGAGCGACCTCCATGACTAAGCCAATGCGGCGCTCAGCAACCCCATTCTGCTGCGGAGAGGCCGGAAGCGTGAACGTCTGGCGGATGCCGCGCTCCGCACAGTAGGCTGCCAAGAGGTCAGAGGAGAACTCACCACCTCTGTCAGAGTGCAGACACAGGACAGGAAAGTCCGACCGGAACCGCTCGCGGAGCTGGAGACGAACTGCGCGGATCTAGGGGATCAAAACAGCAGGGACATCCGCCTTGCTCCGCAAGGGGAAGACCGTGGTGTAACGCGTGTAGTCGTCGACAACCAGCAGGAAGTACCGCTCGTGGCCCGGTCCCTGGACGCGGGCTGGGCCCCACACGTCCAGGTGGAGCGTCTGCAGTGGAGCCTCTGTGGGAGGAAACGAGGAGGAGTGAGGAGCGGCGCGCTGCCGCCCCTCGACGCAAGAAATGCAGGGCGGTGCAGGCGAGGGAGGGAGGGCAGGCAGAGACCTGGGAAGACCAGAGACCAGGGAGCGATAGTGCATGCTATGAAGGCGAGGCAGGGAGGGGTGACCAAGGCGGTGGTGCCACAGGAGAGTGTCGTGCGACAAAGCGCGACACTCGTAGGGGGCCGCCAGCTGACCAGACGTAGACGCAGACGTAGCTACCTGAGGTGACTCAGTGGTCAGTGTGTACAAACTCGAGCCAGGTGCACGGGTGAACGTGGCCAAGTGCCGGCCCGTCCTAGCACACGTACAGTGAGTCACTCGCTGACTCGCAGGAGTGAACTGGTCAACCCCCCGATCCTGGAGGTCAGCTCCACTCACCAATTTCGTAGAGAACGAGGGGAGGTAAAGACCTGACAGCGAGCCGGACGGGGCGGCCGGACACGGCAGAACCGTGGAGTAGTGGGCAAGGACTGGCACCCCAGAGGGGTCCGCCAGGGAGACTGGAACTGGCCGATTAAGCGGCGTGAGTGTGGTGCAGTCGCGAAAAAAGGAGCGAGAAGCTCTTGAGTCAAGGGTGAAGGTGTGCGAGACCGCAGTGGGCGCAGTACCAGAGAGAGCAGACTCACCAGCACCTGAAGCCATGGCCTCACCAGTACCTAGAGCAGTAGACGTACTAGCACCGAGAGCAGCAGCCTCACCAGCACCTAGAGCAGGAGACGCACTAGCACCTAGAGTAGCAGCCTCACCAGCACCGAGAGCAGCAGGCTCTATACCAGGGTCAGGCGGTACGCACAGGTAACAGGCACGGTCAGCACTAGTAGGCAATGCATACATGGCAGTGATAATAGCATCATAGTTAAGCGCAAAGATATCTACCCTCTGTCCATGCAGCTCCAGCCAGGTGGGGAGCTCAGCCTCGTCGCCAAACACTGTGCGCCAGTCGTCGCTCAGACGGGCGAAGTAGCGGGACTGTGTGTGACCAAGCGTCCCACAAGGCTGACCAGTCCTAGCACCTGTGCGAATGACGTACGGGCAGCGAACTGTACGCGTAGACCTGCTACACTGAGCGTACCACTCATGGAGCTGCTGGAGCGTAAGTGTCTCGCGTGGACGCCGCTGCAGCTGCAGCTGGCCACTGCCATACGCTCCCAACTGACCAGCTCCAGGGCGACAGCTACGACGGCTACCGCGACAACCCCAGCTAGTATACCACTCATCAAGCTGCTGGGGCGTGAGAGGCTCGCGTGAACGTCGCTGGAGCTGCATCTGGCCACCTGCCAGTAGCAGTAGCAGCAGCAGTAGCGTGAGCAGGGCAGGCGCGGCAGGCAGGCAGGCAAGCAGGCAGGCAGGCAGGCCGACAGGCAGGCAGGCCGGCAGGCAGACAGGCAGGCAGGCAGGCAGACAGACAGGCAGGCCGGCAGGCAGGTAGGCAGGCCGGCAGGCAGGCAGGCAGGCGCGCAGGCAGGCAGGCAGGCAGGCAGGCAGGCCGGTAGGCAGGCAGGCAGGCAGGCAGGCAGGCAGCCAGGCAGCCAGGCAGGCAGGCAGACAGGCAGGCCGGCAGGCAGGCAGGCAGGCGCTCACCAAAGGCTGGGAGAGCAGGCGCTCACCGGGCGAGCAGGGCCGGCGCTCGACGGGCGGCGGCCGAGTAGGCGCACGACAGCGGCGACGTCGGGGCCGCAAAACCGGCTGCAGAGCAGGGCCGAAGCAGCTGCAGGGCGGGGCTGCTTCAGCGGCAGTAGCAGGGTGGGGCCGCGTCAGCGGCAGGTCGGGGCCGTGGCAGCTGCAGGGCGGGGCCGCATCAGCGGCAGGTCGGGGCCGTGGCAGCTGCAGGGCGGGGCCGCATCAGCGGCAGGTCAAGGCCGAGGCAGAAGGCCATGCGCGGCTCGGCGCGGGCTGCGCTGACAGCACGATAAGCTGCTGCAGGCCGCGCGCGGCCGCGCTAGGCAGTAGCGGGCCGCGCGCGGCTCGGCGCGGGCTGCTGCGGGCCGCGCGCGGGCCGCGCGAGGCAGTAGCAGGCCGCGCGCGGCTCGGCGCGGGCTGCTGCGGGCCGCGCGCGGGCCTCGCGAGGCCGTAGCAGGCCGCGCGCGGCTCGACGCGGGCTGCGTGGGCTCGGCGCGGGCTGCGCGCGGCAGCAGCGGGCTGCGCGCGGCTCGGTGCAGGCTGCGCGCGGCTGCAGCGGGCTGCGCGCGGCTCGGTGCGGGCTGCGCGCGGCTCGGCGCGGGCTGCGTGGGCTCGGTGCGGGCTGCGTGCGGTTGCAGCGGGCTGCGCGCGGCTCGGTGCGGGCTGCGCGGGCTCGGTGCGGGCAGCGCGCGGCAGCAGCGGGCTGCGCGCGGCTCGGTGCGGGCAGCGCGCGGCAGCAAGGGGCCTAACGGTCTGCAGGGGCTGTTCGCGGGCCTGAAGGGCGTGTAGGGGCGGCGCGCGGGCCTTACGGGCCTCTAGGGGCAGCGCGCTGGCCTAGGGCAGCAGGAGGCAGCGCTAGGGCTGCTGGACGGCGCGCATAGTGCAGCACGTCACAAGGCAAGGCAAGGCAAGGCAGGCAGGTACGTGGGGTAGCGCGGTAACCGCAGCGGTAGGTGGGCCCGAAAAAAAACGGTCCTACGGACCTTAGTTCTCTGAAAACATGTTAGAATCTAGCAGCAGGAATGGATGAACTAGCAGGATGTAGGAGTACAAGTAGTAAACCCTAATTGGGTTGTACCCCATATGGGCTACACCACTACAGACTAGACAATATGCAGCACAAATAGTTTGACAGATGTAATAAATTGCAGGGTTGCAACCACTCAATGGCGGATCTGCATTTACTAGAAATACTACATATTATAATGTATGTTCCATTTTAGACTAGCTAGTATATGTGGCACATTGTAAAAATATTGGAACATTGTAATATCGTGTTCAGCGAGCATCGTGACTAGCGATTATCGTGACTACCGATTATCGTGACTAGCGAGCATCGTGATTAGCGAGGATCGTGACCTGCGAGCATCGTGACTAGCGAGCATCGTTACAAGCGAGCATCGTGACTAGCGAGCATTGTGACTTGCGAGCATCGTGACTAGCGAGCATCAAGACTAGCATCGTGATTGACATCGTGAGAATGTAAACCGTTAAGATGTATAAGTAAATTTCAAATAAATTCCTTTATCAATCCGTTAAAATGATTGAAACCAATTATTCTAAAAATAGATTGTTCAATCAGATCAAAGAAAAACATAATAATACTAAGAGAAGCTAATCTAAAGAGGGAAAAAAATAATTGATAACCTAGTAGATTTAGCTAGCTTATGGATATGTTAAATCGCTACAACGCAATGGCGCAACGATCGAGCGGCGTAATGATTGAGCGGCGCAGCGACGCAACGAGGTCGGTGTTACGAATCGTAATATTTGATATTACTGTGCACTCCTCACCGCAGCAAAGGGAAGCAGGCAATGTCGAGAATGAACGTGAAGCGACCGACAGTTGGAATCAAACCGAAGAGTCAGACGGTTACAGCACATCTAGACCGTCGGAAGGAGACGGCATCGGGCAGCTGCAGGCAGAATGGTTTTGGCGGGAACAGTTACGAAACTGTACGCGCCGCACGGTTGGGAATGAATTTGAATAAAGGAATGTACCCCTTAGAGTACATGGCTAATTAGGTCGTTTCGTATTCCCTTGTACTCATATTTATATTTCTTGTATTTGCATGTTTTATTTCATCTCAAAGCATTTTACATTCACTCTGCTATTGAGGTCAAGGGCCCACCAAACTATCTCACTGCGTGCGAACCTTCCCGGGTAGATCCTGGGCTATGATCAACTTCTGATCGCAGCATGGTATGAGAGCGGCTCGGGAATCCTTCGCACTGCCACTCCCGAAAATTGCGACATTCGGAAAGTGGCGTCCGGCACATGCTCACGAGTGAAGATGGCCGGAGGATCTGGTGGTCAGACCAATCTGACGGCTGAAGCGCAACCAAACCCGGCTGCGACAAGCGAGAACACGACGACAATCGGCTCCGAAGTTCCCGCACAACTTCTTCAGCGACTCACCAGCTTGGAGCAAGGGCTCCGAACATTGCGGAATGGCGACGCGGGAACATCCTCACAACCCTCTACTATTTCCCACATCCACAACAAGTGGCTCCATTTCGTTCCATGTGGTTGGCATGATTTGAGCGCCCGAACTCTGCCCGGTACGCCCATCATAGGAGCGCGCTCTGCCCCGACTGCCCAACGCACCACTTTGATTGGTCCACTGCATTGGATGCCTCTTTTTTTTTGCTAGTCCTCTTGATTAGACTATTTCCCACATCCACAACAAGTGGCTCCATTTCGTTCCATGTGGTTGGCATGATTTGAGCGCCCGAACTCTGCCCGGTACGCCCATCATAGGTGCGCGCTCTGCCCCGACTGCCCAACGCACCACCTTGACTGGTCCACTGCATTGGATGCCTCTTTTTCTTTTGCTATTCCTCTTGATTAGACTATTTCCCACATCCACAACAAGTGGCTCCATTTCGTTCCATGTGGTTGGCATGATTTGAGCGCCCGAACTCTGCCCGGCACGCCCATCATAGGAGCGCGCTTTGCCCCGACTGCCCAACGCACCACTTTGATTGGTCCACTGCATTGGATGCCTCTTTTTTTTTGCTATTCCTCTTCATTATACTATTTTCCACATCCACAACAAGTGGCTCCATTTCGTTCCATGTGGTTGGCATGATTTGAGCGCCCGAACTCTGCCCGGTACGCCCATCATAGGAGCGCGCTCTGCCCCGACTGCCCAACGCGCCACCTTGATTGGTCCACTGGATTGTATGCCTCTTTTTTTTTGCTAGTCCTCTTCATTATACTATTTCCCACATCCACAACAAGTGGCTCCATTTCGTTCCATGTGGTTGGCATGATTTGAGCGCCCGAACTCTGCCCGGTACGCCCATCATAGGTGCGCGCTCTGCCCCGACTGCCCAACGCACCACCTTGACTGGTCCACTGCATTGGATGCCTCTTTTTTTTTGCTAGTCCTCTTCATTAGACTATTTCCCACATCCACAACAAGTGGCTCCATTTCGTTCCATGTGGTTGGCATGATTTGAGCGCCCGAACTCTGCCCGGTACGCCCATCATAGGAGCGCGCTCTGCCCCGACTGCCCAACGCACCACTTTGATTGGTCCACTGCATTGGATGCCTCTTTTTTTTGCTAGTCATCTTGAGTAGACTATTTCCCACATCCACAACAAGTGGCTCCATTTCGTTCCATGTGGTTGGCATGATTTGAGCGCCCGAACTCTGCCCGGTACGCCCATCATAGGAGCGCGCTCTGCCCCGACTGCCCAACGCACCACTTTGACTGGTCCACTGCATTGGATGCCTCTTTTTTTTGCTAGTCCTCTTGATTAGACTATTTCCCACATCCACAACAAGTGGCTCCATTTCGTTCCATGTGGTTGGCATGATTTGAGCGCCCGAACTCTGCCCGGTACGCCCATCATAGGAGCGCGCCTTGCCCCGACTGCCCAACGCACCACTTTGACTGGTCCACTGTATTGGATGCCTCTTTTTTTTGCTATTCCTCTTGAGTAGACTATTTCCCACATCTACAACAAGTGGCTCCATTTCGTTCCATGTGGTTGGCATGATTTGAGCGCCCGAACTCTGCCCGGTACGCCCATTATAGGTGCGCGCACTGCCCCGACTGCCCAACGCACCACTTTGACTGGTCCACTGCATTGGATGCCTCTTTTTTTTCATAGTCCTCTTGATTAGACTATTTCCCACACCCACAACAAGTGGATCCATTTCGTTCCATGTGGTTGGCATGATTTGAGCGCCCGAACTCTGCCCGGTACGCCCATTATAGGTGCGCACACTGCCCCGACTGCCCAACGCACCACTTTGACTGGTCCACTGCATTGGATGCCTCTTTTTTTTTGCTAGTCCTCTTCATTAGACTATTTCCCAGATCCAAAACAAGTGGCTCCATTTCGTTCCATGTGGTTGGCATGATTTGAGCGCCCGAACTCTGCCCGGTACGCCCATTATAGGTGCGCACACTGCCCCGACTGCCCAACGCACCACTTTGACTGGTCCACTGCATTGGATGCCTCTTTTTTTTGCTATTCCTCTTCATTATACTATTTCCCACATCCACAACAAGTGGCTCCATTTCGTTCCATGTGGTTGGCATGATTTGAGCGCCCGAACTCTGCCCGGTACGCCCATTATAG